GAAAGGAGGAGTGAGGCTCAGATGGCAGAACGAATAAGCGCCGGTGGGTCCAGAGGGAGGGGAAGGCCGAGAACATTGTGGAGGGGAGTTGATGAGATCCTGAAAAAGAGTTGGAAAGTTTAAAGTTCAGAAGGCAAGATAATGCTTGTAGTGATATTTGAGATGTGCTGCTCGGGACACAAACGCATGCACGCTGTTGCTGAAGAAGATGCCATATTGCTGACTGAGAATCCAAACAATTGGCAGCGAATGTTAGATGGATTGTGTGATGCAACGAAGAGCATGAATCTGAAAATTAATGTGTTGAAGACCAAGGCAGTTGTATCTGGCTAGGAAACGGAGTGAACTATTGTAAGTTACCTATGTATGGTGGAAAGCTAGAGTAAACGAATGAATCTGTGTAGCTTGGTAGAATGTTTCCTAAAGATGAAAAAAAGTGAGTGGAGAAATTTAAAGAGGCACAAATGATGGTAGAAAGGTAATGGGTTGTACATGGTCTGTTGCAAGCAATAAATGTCTGATGAAAGAAACAAAATATGGCTGTGGGTAAGAGTGTGCTTCTGCCTATTTTGTTATATGGAAGTGAGATTTGGGCACCGCAGGAGAAACGTCAAAGTAAGTTGAATATGGGGGGAATGTAAGAACAGGGTGAGGGCCAAGAATGAATGGGCACTGGAGAAATGTTGATTGCACACAAAAGTGAGAAATCGAGGAATATGTTCAGATAGTTTGGCGATACAGAGAGGAGGAATGAGGATCCAATTGCAGAACAAATATCTGAAGGAAGAGTGAATGGGTCCAGAGGCAGGGGAAGACAGAGAAAGTTGTGGTTGGACGACGTTGATGAGATCCTGAGGAAGAGATCGGTGAGAATTTTAAAGAACAAAATCAGTGGGTAAAGCAGGAGATGGACAGGTGGAAGCAAGCTGAGTAGAAAGATCTGGAGAAATAGAATTGAGTGCAACTGGTATTCGCTAGATTTAGCTAGATTTCCTTTTCTTTCCTTCTCTCATGCCTCTAATTTCTTTGCCGTTCTATTTCTTACTTCTTTTCTGCATTTTACATAACGTTGCGAACTCTGAAGAGGAATGTCATGATGGGGATATATCTCTGTAGATGTCTGGAGGGTGCATGGAGGACAGAGGGTGGGATGGAGCAAGAAAAACAGAATTTGCAATTACTGACCAACATTTGTTCCTTTTGCTGTCCAGGATACGAGGGTAAACTGCCATCAGATCGCGTGCCCAGTTCTTCACTGTCCAGATCTCATCAACGAACCTCAGCAGTGCTGCCCGACGTGCCTAGGTAAGGGTGTCCTTCCAGTGCCCGTTTTGATGCCAACTTATCACCCCTCCTGCGTTTGAAACCTCTGCACTGGGATGGCAGCGGCCTTGGAGAAGATCCCCAGGGGCAGGGCCGTCTGCAGGGCGTAGTCAAAAAAGCTCCACCCATTTTTTAGGTCCATCGTACCTATTTTATTTATTTATTTATTTATTTATTTATTTATTTATTTATTTCTTATTTATTTATTTATTTATTCAGTTGATATAGCTGCCCATCTCAGACCAGTGACTGGGCGGCTAACAACAGTAAAAACCATCAACATTAAAAACAGTGCAAAAATTAAATATAATATAAAGGCAGCCAAGAGATCTTAAGAAACCGTTGGTGTCCGCACAACCATGAAACGGGGCCCTTTGCAGACTCAGGGCCCCAGCCCCGGGCACAAAGCCAGGTCTTCAAGGCCTTCCAAAAGCCAAGAGGGTCGGAGCCATCCTTATCTCAGGAGGGAGGATGTTCTGTGGGTGCCACAGCGGAAAAGGCACGTCTCCTGGTCCCTGCCAGCCGACATTCCTTGGCTGACGGGACCTGGAGCGTGCCCATCCTGCCAGAGCGGATTGGACAGGTAGAAACAACTGGGAGAAGACGGTCCCTCAGGTGACTCGGTCCCAAGCCATGAAGGGCGTTAAAGGTGACAACCAGCACCTTGAATTGCACCCAGAAACACATTGGCAACCAACACAGCTCCCGAAGCAGTGGGGTTACATGTGCCGAGTAGCCGACACTATTTACGACCCGGGCAGCTGCGTTCTGCACCAGCTGAAGCTTCCGAACGCTCTTCAAGGGCAGCCCCATGTACAGCGCGTTGCAGTAGTCCAAACGGGAGGTCACGAGGGCATGAGTGACAGCGAGTAGAGGTGGGAATGGCTGTTTTGGGCCAGCG